TATAACTTTCGGAATGTTTGTATATAGATTATCTTATTTGGCCCTTAGCCAAAGCACACAAATTAATACCATTATTATTTTTCCCAAATTACAAGAAAGAAGCAAACTCAGGGAGATTGGCATTTTCCTAGTTCCTGCTTGATACCTCTCACTTCCCCAAGATGATCGGTTTTGGGGAAGCTGAAGGCGGATGATGCCAGATCAGAGTGGGCACCAGAGCAGCTTCCCAGCACACCAGTGTCCAGGCAGCTTGTCATCCTGAGCACACGTGCTCTCACTCAGTACCTGCTGGAGGCCATGTCTACTCGCCCCCTCAGCTTCCTGTGACATACTAAGGAGTTTCCTTCTCTAGACTTTAGAGGAGTGGTTTTGAACGATGGGTCATGACGAAACAGTAGGTCATCAGATCAATTAGGGGGCCCCAGCCATGCTTCCCAGAGCCAGTGGTGCATGTCTCCCAACACTGCCCTCACTCACTTCATGTTGGTTACTTGAACTTGGCTGTGGTTGAACTCAGTCAATACCACAAAGCTAGGACCTTTGTTTTACCACAGAGAACCAGTTATTAAACATTCACTAGCATATGACTGATCATAGCCATCACTTCTTCCTCTCCCTCCCTCCCCCGCCCCTCCTGCAATAGAAGAGGATAGAATAGAAAGAAAAATACCAGGGACATCTATAATAAAAGTAAGAATTGCTTTGTGAGACTTCTATTTGGATCAAAAAGATATTTATGTATGTATTCATATACGATGTAGTTTTTACCAGAAATAATTTGAAAGTCAGTTGTCTCGAGTCCCTTCATTTCTTCCTCAAGTAATTGAAAGTCTGCTGTTTTGTTGATCTTTAGGCAGAAAACTAGTGTCCAGCATCTTTTTTGAATGAATGCTGTGTCAACTCTAGGTGGAATGAGACACAATTTGTACCAGGCTAGAAATTATTGTTCTAGAATAGACAAAATGCCTCTGTATATCAGTTCCTTTGAACTCAAAGCTGTATGAGTTTCCTATGCTCAGAAAACAGTAGTCATTATTTTTAAGTGCCCCAAGTTAGAAGGCCAATAAATAGGGAAAAAATCAGATTTAAGCACATAGCCATGTGTTACTCTACATTCTTCATTAGAACTTTCTAAGAAGGAATTAAATCTTTTTAGGAAAGTGAATGTACTTTTTTGTGAAATATATCGTTTTCCTTTTAATGATTTAGTGATTGGTTTTATAAATCCAGATTTCATAGATAGATAGATATATGTTTATGTTGTATATAAACATTTTATATGTAAATGTTATATATATCCTAGATATGCTTAAGTGGATTATGCTTCAAAACTAGATAGATGTCAGGGTGCCTGGGTGGCTCAGTCAGTTAAACGTCTAATTTCGGCTCAGGTCATGATCTTGTGGTTCGTGAGTTCAAGCCTGCATTGATTGGGCTCTGTGCTGACAGCTCAGAGCCTGGAGCCTGCTTCAGATTCTGTGTCTCCCTGCCCCAGCCCCGCTCACACACACGGTCTCTCTTTAAAGTAAACATTAAAAAAGCAAAACAAAAATACTAGATAGATGTATGTAGATCATGGAATTAAATCTCAAGAACTTTGATTTAGATCAGCCCTGCAATGTTGAAATTTTCATAAAAGGAAAGTTATTAAGTATTCTTATGCAAAAAAAAAAAAAAAAAGACTGCAAACACAAGAAACGGTATGCCCTTGCTATCTATATGGAGTTAGAAAAAAAACATTTTTCACTGAGTCACATTTGAAAGTCATTCATAAAGGTTTCTATCTCTCTTTCTATTCCATGATGTCAACTTTACCATGCCTATTTTACTGCTTTGTTGTAATAAGAAAATGAACAAGAGGGGTGCCTGGGTGGCTTAGTCGGTTAAGCGTCCGACTTTCGCTTAGGTCATGATCTCGCGGTTCGTGGGTTCGAGCCCCGCGTCGGGCTCTGTGCTGACTGCCAGCTCGGAGCCTGGAGCCTGTTTCAGTCTGTGACTCCCTCTCTCTCTGACCCTCCCCTGCTCACGCTGTCTCTCTCTCTCTCTTTCTCTCACTCTCTCCTAGAAATAAATAAAAATATTTAAAAAAAAAGAAAAGAAAAAAAAAGAAAATGAACAAGAATAAGGGGAACATGGCTTAAAGGTTCACAGGAGTTAAATGTGCTTTCAGAAAAGAGTTATGGAACATTTTTCTTGGAAGAATTTAGCTTAGTGTATATATGACTTCAATTCCTCGCTTGTTTGCAAGTAGAAAGTAAATCTCCCCCATAGATGGGCACTTGACCCAGGGCGCATTTGGCATCTAGGAGTTCAGCCGAGCACCCTGCTGTTCACTAGAAATGCAGAAGGTTTCTGGGAGGGCGCAGGCAGGCGCTCGGGTGCCCCTCTGCTCAGCCAGCTTGCTCCCCTCTCCCCTGGGGCTGCACTCCAGAGCAGTTCAGGGACTGCCTTTTCTCCGAACAAAGCCCGCACAGCTGTGCCCGGCGCCTCCGTGTCACCAGGCAGGGTTTCATGAACTGGATCTGATGCTCTTGTGCCTGTGGTGTTCATTCCTACACGCTGGAGCTGTGCCCGGGAAGGTGAGGGGCCAGCAGGTTGGCCCTCACTCCACAGCTGTCCCTGTCTCCTCCTGTCATTCAGGATATAAATAAATGGATTCATTCACTCTCTTATCAAGCCAGAATGTTGCCAGAAGGTACTATCAGGGCTACTCTGATCAGTTGGAAAGGGCCTTAAGGGCAGATCTAAGAGGCACAATTTACAGAAGCCTCCGCACTTAGGTAATTTTAAAAATTAAGTTTTTAATTTTACTTCTCCTGTTCACTTCAGACCTCGGAAGGAGAAAAGTAGCTTGAGTTATATGTTCATGTTGTTTGAGGTCTGGGCCTTCCTTAGTGGTATGGAAGTCATGGTGCATTCTTTGTTTTTTCTGAGCTAGAAAAGCCTTGAGTCTGATGATCTCATTGAAAATGTACTTCCCTTTCCTTAAGACAGCTGATGGGTGGGTGGTAGAAGCACTGATCTGGAGTGGATTGCTGCTTATCACACGGAGCTGTGGTATTTCAGAGGCCAAGTTTATATGGTTAGTTGGAAGTCTTTTGCTGCCCATAGGGAGCGCTGCTGTCAATCATTTCCCACAGCCGTTAATCCAGTATTTCCCAAGCAGCTGCCATGTAAATATGTACGTGGCAAAATGCTGGGCGCTCAGGTCATGTGAAGGTTTATAAGACGTGGTCTCTGCACCTCAAAGAGCGAATCACAGGAAATGAGCATCCACCCCCACCCTGCCCTCAACAATGATGTAAGAAGCAATGATTTGGGTGGTTTGGGAAAGTCTGTTCACCATTCCTCTCAGGGAACTTACTCCTCACAGTGAGCATGGGCGTGATTGGTGCCCTCAGCAGCTCTCTGTGCCTAGGTGCTCCTCCCAATGCACTTCACCTTGGCTGATATGGATCACGGTGCTGAACATAATTTTATTTGCTGTTACAGTAGCTCGAGCCAGTTACTTAATATGGTGCTAATGGGAGAACAGGAGACTGGAGGATAAACTGGGTTTGTTGGACTCTGAGAGTCGCCAAACCAGCACAACGTATTTTACAGGTGCTTCAAGATTTTTAAGGGTAGTTCTGCTAATATTTTATGTTTATGTTGCTTGTTGACTTTAAAACTAACCTAATATTGGTGTAACTTCATTTATTTGATAAATGCCAAGTGAGTGTACAAATAGTGTGATCCACAGCCATTTCACACACACACACAGACACACACACACACACACACACACGCACACCTTCCAGGTCAAGACATCAAAGCAAAAAACAAGATGGGCAACTTCAGTGAGTGGTTTTTCAGAATTCTACCATAAAAGAGTCAGGCTGTGATCATGGCCACAAAGAAGGTGGGGGGGAGGGGGGAGAGATGCAGTACACTGTTGTCCTGTGTGTCGTCCCTGCCCTTATACCCCCAGCACTGAGTCAGCAGGCAGGAGTGGAGAGCCCAGCTCTCCTGTCTTGGACCTTGGTGCTGAGCAAGATGGAGTAGAGGACTCTCCCTGATCATTTATAACCACAAACTGACCCTTATGTAAGCTTGGGCACAAATTCATATTCCCCAGGTACCCTGAAAAACTTCAGACTGAGAATTTAATCTAAGGTGGTCCTGAGCTAATAGTGGTCTTAGGCACCTAATGTAATCAAATGCATAGTTCTTTCTGGAGGGTTCTTCCTTCAACTCAAATCTCAAATTCTTTTTTTCCATTTTTTTAATGTTTATTTATTTTTGAGAGAGAGAGAGAGCATGAGTGGGATAAGGGACGGAGAAAGAGAGAGGGAGATGTAGAATCTGAAACAGGCTCCAGGCTCTGAGCTGTCAGCACAGGGCCTGACACGGGTCTCAACTCATGAGCTGTGAGATGACGACCTGAGCCAAAGTCAGACGTTCAACCAACTAAGCCACCCAGGCGCCCCTCAAATATTTATAGGTAAAGGTCAAAAAACTGTGAGATCACAGTTTAAAATCACAAAACAAATAAGGAAACATGGCACCATAAGCAAAAGTCAGCAAAAATAAGGATAACAGCATCAGACCAACAAAGATTAAAGATACTGAAATTACCAGACATCCAATAAAAATAAATTTTCTCATGTGTTTACAGAAATTAAAGGAAGGTGTAAAAAGTATGAGTGAAATCAAAAGATTAAAATTACAACTAAACAGATTAGAAAAAGAATCTATGTAGACTTTTCAAATTACAAAGATACAGTAGTTAAAGTTTTCAAATCAATGGCTGGGCTTAACTGCAGGTAGACCCAGCTGGAAAGATATTTAGTGAACTTGAAGATTTATTTAAAGAAATTATGTGAACTGCAGGACAGAATGATGAAAAATCACAAGAGAAGGCCTGATAGATATCTAGATAATTGGAGTTCTAGAAAGAAAAATAATGGGACAGGAACAATATTTGACTGGATAATGGCTAAAAATATTCCAAAACTAGAGCCAAAATATCTCAGGTGGGAGAGCATTAGACTGAAGATCTAAGGGTACCTGGTTCAATCCCCGGGTTTTGGCAAAGAGGAGATGTCCTCTTAGAGCCTGTAATAATTAAAGATATTTCAAAACTAATGAAAAGATACACCAGTTGCAGTGAATCACAAGAAATGCACATCTCAACACACCGTACTGAAGCTTTGAAATACTAAAGACAAAGAAGAGATGTTCAAAGCACCTGGAGACAAAAGAAGGCTTTCCAGAGGAATGCCAGCTTGACGGCGTACTTCCCAACCACAGGAGTGGAAGACAAACTACAGGGTGACATTGCGCCAATGAGAGAAAATAAGTAGCCAATCAGAAACATATTGTAATAAAAAATATCTTTCAAAGACAAGGATAAAAATAAAATATCTTTCAAACACATGTTGGCATTTTCCAACATGTAAAACCCAGAAGAATTCACAAAAGGAAAGCAAAGATTCTAAAGAATGGATATTTCATGAACAAAGGAAATTTTTTAAAGAAATAAACAAACCAAGAAATAGATTCAACTGTGGAGAACAAACTGATGGTTACTAGAGAGGAGGTGGATGGAAGGAGATGGCTGAGATAGGTGAGAGGGATTAAATAATACACTTACCATGATGGAAAAAAAGAAAAGTGAGACCAAGGGTGTGGCCAAAATATGCTTAAAAAAACAAAAGCATTAAAATGTCAGATTGTGCAAGGGACTAAAAACTGGGAAATTAGCCTGTGAGTTCGTGTTTCGGGTGACGAGCCATAGAGGGACCCGGTTTTCTCCACTCCAGCGGACTCCGGCTCAGAACACCCTGCGGGCAAGCCCCCGCCCATGCGCGCCAGCCCGACCCAGAGAAGGAAGCAGCGATTCTGACTCCGCTCCCAGAGCTCGGCAGGGAGCCTGGAATTGCCTGAGGGGGCTGCCTGGGAAGCTGTGTCTAAGGCAACTTCAGCGGGGCGCGCGGACGGGGATTTGGAGATTGGAACTGCCCTGGGTTGAAGAGTGCAACCAACTTCGGCTGCGCCCCTGGTACGGGGAGTTTACACCCCCAAAAGAGTGAGGAGCAGCGCTTGCTTCGAGAAGGGACTGGAGCACCGTCACTCTCCTCCCCACAACCGC